CGTATTTTTTCATTCCATACCTAAAAGATGTTAATACAGAATGCTTTAATTCAAGTAAAATGTTATTTTAATAATACTGAATATGGTTTTTAAAAATTGAGTATTCATTGAGTGCTTTTATTGTATAAGGCACTCTGTTGAGAGCTTTTATGTGAAGTATCTCATTCAATCCTTACCATAGCCCTACTATAGGGTACTATTAGTAAGCTCATTTTAAAGATGTGGAAACTGAAACTCAGGAAAGCTCTGCCCAAGATCATAGAACCCACAATTGTGGCGGTAAACAGGCACCAACAGCATTGGTTGAGTGCTTACTATGTGCTCATCACTGTGCTGAGCACTTAATTCTTATGAATTCATTTAATCCTTACAATACTGTATGAAGTAGGTGCTATTATAATCCCTATTCTGCAGATAATATTATTAAGAACAATAATAGTAACTATAGCTAAAATTTACACAGCACTTATTCCTTGTGCCAGGATTTGTTATATGTACTTTAGGTATCATAGATAATTCTTATACAAAGCAACCATATGAAGTAGGTAGTGTTATTATTCTCGTTTTACTGATTAGGAAGTTGAGGCAGGCAGGTTAAGCGATTGGCCCAAACTTATATAATTAGTACTTGACAGAGCTGGAACGCAAACCCAGGGAGCCTGAGTTGAGAATCCACACTTGTAATAGTTTGCTGCGTATCAGTCCAGTCCAGTGATAACAGCTTTGGAGTTTTATCCAAAAATAAGTAGACATTTAATTCAAAAATTATTTCTGACATTTCCTAGCAAATTGCATCTTTATAATTTATAGTTTACATTAAGATGTGAAAGATAGACATATTCAGCTTTTGGATCTTTGAAATATGATAAAGCAGTCTTACCTATGTTAGGAGTTATTGTGAAGCTCAAGTTAGGTAATAAGTGGGAAATTCTTTTGTAAAAAGTGCAAGGAATAGAACTACAAGATGATGTTGAATGCTGAATTAATACCTATTTTTATTTT